GATGAATAATTGATTGATGAAGAGGGCAAGGTAAGGAAGTGGAAGGAGAAAGAAAGGGTGTTGCTGGGTTCCTTTGAACCCAGGTGCTGGGTTCCTTTGAACCCAGCATGCCTAGGTTCGAAAGAATCCATGAGCAAAAAAATTTTAAATAAAATTTTGTTTTTTTGGTGAGTTTTATTGTTTGATAATGATGATGATGAATCCAGTAAAAGTATAAATTGGTTGAAATGAATAGATTGGTTGAGATGTTACAAATTGGTTAAGATCTTAGGGTTTGTAGAGGGTTTGTAGAAGTTGAAGAAAGGGTAGATGAAAGAGAGGAAGGAAAATATATATATATATATATATATTTTTTTTTTGGGTGGGATGAGTTGAAATGGCCATGTTATTTATTTTTGCCAACTTGGCAATTTTTTGTGTGACATGTAATGTTTCTTCTGCATTTGGTTGTCAATTAACGTGAAAAATTAATGGAAGGACCAAATTGGGATAAAAATAATAAACAGTAGGGACCAAATCAAAGATTTTTTAAGTTTAGGGATGAAATTAAGGGTCCATACAATACTTCAGGGGCCAAAATGAGGTTTTAACCTTATTATATTATTATTATTATTATTTGGTTTTTTAACTTGTGCCAAGATGTAATTATTGCACTATTTAACATTAATTGGTATTAAAAAAAATTAAATTTGACATTTATTTAATTAATCACCTAATTAAGATGATTCACATGCCAATTGTGTTGAAATTATGTCTAACTTTTGTAATTTTTTAATGTTAATTAATTTTAAAAAGTTGTAATGATTGCCCTAAGAACACACATTAAAGCACTTGCTTAGCCTTGGTTAAGGTACATTATACTTTTGGCATTGCCAAAGTTTCATATATTGTAATAACAGTGAAATTATTCCACTTCTTTTAAAATTTCCTATGTTGAAAAAAAAAAAAAAAAAAAAAAAGAACACAGTCAAAAAACCCCTTTCTTTAAAGAAATTGATATTAAAAAATATTTTTTCTAATACATGCATTAGAGTGCAATTATTGTATCTTCTATATTAATGGATATTGAAAAAAAAAGTAAAATTTGACTTTTACTTAAGTAACTATCTAATTAAAATAATTTACATGACATTGTTAGTGAAATTAATATCAATTTTTATATTTTTTAATACAATTAATGCCAAAAGAATACAACCATTACACCCTAACTTATGCCCTACGAGTTAAGGCTACATTTATTGCACATTTTCTCATTAATTTATATATAAATTTTTTTTTATTTTATCAACCATCCAATTAAAATTATTTATATAATATTAGTAATGAAAACAAAGTTTATTTTTATAATTTTTCTACTTTGAAATGGGTGGGTTAATAAAAAGTGAGTTTTTTTATCCATGACTTAGGATATAATTAATATATTTTTCACATTAATTGATATTAAAAAAGGTAAAAATGATCATTTATTTAATTAACTCTTCAATTAAAATGATTCAAATGACATTAATACTAAAACTAATGTCAATTTTTATATTTTTTTAATATAAATTAACGTAAAAAAATACTAATTATACCCTTGTAATTTTAGATAAAAATTCTAAAAAATGTTAACAGATTATTTATCAAGAATCTTGTAAAAAAAAAAAAAAAAGGAGGCAAAAAGCAGTACTAGTATCAATTTTCCTCTTCAAGGGTGTTTGGTTGGTGAGCAACTTTTCCTCCAAACTTTCCTAAACTTCTCCCCTTACAAGGTTATTTATGTATTTTCACATATTAATATTACAATATAAAAAAGAAAAAGAGAGATATTTTATGCATTTATTTTTCTTGACACAATTCCCAACCTAGTTTGCAACATTTAACAACTTTTTCTACTAACTTTACTTATGTCAATTTCTTATCAAATACAACAAAGTTAATAATTTAAAAAAATTCCAACTTAATTACAAAACTGAGTCACTTTGGCACAATACTTTCTAATTTTTTGTATAGTACTTTTCTAACCACTTTTCTAGGAAAAACTTTCCTAGTAAAATGGCCCCTAACCAAACAGTATTCGTCATTGTATTGAGTTATGTAAATACCAAAAATAACTTTGTAGTTTCCTAGATGAAGCAATAAAATAGCGCAAAAAAGGGGGAAAGTAGTTTACTAGATGGAAGGGAGAACATCAATGTGTATGCTTGTAATTGTGGACAAAATATAGTGAAATTGTGAACCCTATGCTTTCTTACCTGTTTGGGTCACCAGTACTCTTAAAATTTGTAAATATTTCTCCTGAGGATATACACTCATTCATTTTGGCACAGAAAATGAAAATCACTATTTGTTTTAGGGACTTTCTACCCGCCCTAACATGAAAAATAAAAATTCCTAAGAGAAGCACCAGACAAGCTTCTTACCTAGAAAGCAATGACAAAGCAGATCTCAGCAGATTCTCCAACTTGCCTCTTAAACTTGAAACTGTATTCTTTAGCGTTTCACAGGAGCTCGTTTCCTCCCCACTGGCAAACTTGTCGTTCTTTAATCTGTGCAGCTGTCTCTCCAAATATCTATGAAGACTAGCCTCTGTGATGTTAATGAGACTGAGAGAAGCATTTGTGTGCATGAATTTTGTAACTAGAAATCCTGCTAGAATCTGCTGATCAGCCTTTACCAGCTCCGATATAAATGCAGGGAACAGGATTCTTGTGAACAGAAATAAGATGTCATCCTCCTTGTTTTCCCGTTCATTCCTTCCTCTCTTTGGCACAGACAATTGAGCTTCTTGAAACTGGCGAGACAAATTTCCAACCATGTAGCAGAGATAAGAGAAAATAGTGCCATAGGAAGGGTTGTTGATGATGGTTGATATAACCCCCGAGAAGAAAACAAGCATTAAAAGCTCATGGTCACTGCCAATTATGTCTGAGATGCCATCTCGTTTCAGCTTGTCTTCCAGTAAACTCAAGAACTCAAGCTGCAATGCTTCATAAGGCAGTAAAAGGATCATCTTCAAACCCATAAAACAATCCATTCCAAGTGGAATCTGACTCAAGCTCCTTGCCTCTTCTTGATCAAGTAATGTACAATTAGATTTTGAGATGGATTGATCAATCAGTCTTAAGACATCTCTAAACCGATTCATTGCAAGGAGGCTTTTAAAAATCTCCTTCCAACACGAGTGCAAGGGGTGAACAGAAAGTGAGTTATTATCTTTAATTTCTTTCTCCATAGGTTCAACTTCCTGGAAGCTTTCCCATCCCTCGTCCCAATTGTCATTGCTCCAGTTGTTTCCCGTGTCAGATGCTTCTGTAGAGGCTGCCTCTTCTGTCTTAATCACAAAAAGCCCTTCCCACTCTTTCAAAATGGCTATTAAAGCATCAATATGAGCATCTGCAGTTACAACTTCACACAACTTCTTAAAGCAAGAAACTGCAGCTTCAACATTTGAGAGATCACCAGGGGTAATTTCAATGCTAGGTGAGATGGTTGCCACGAGCTGAGATGATTTGAGGGCAACCAAAGTGCCTGTAAACCTGCTAGAAGTATCTGTTTGATCTGCCACATGATTACTGTCCGTAGCTTCTATCTTAAAACTTGAATAGTGTGATTCATCCCACCCCTCCCATGGTATAACTTCCAACTGAAGCTCATAAGGAAGGCCCTTGTTATTTTTATCTGTGATAAATTGCAAAAGCTCCAAGGCATAAACTCTAGCTTGACTTGGTAGCTGCAAATTTTCAGAGTATCTTGCAATACTTTCCCAAACTACACATCTGACTCTTTTCAACTCCTCCAAATCACCTTCCAAATTACTCAAAGAGGACACCAAACGATACAATTTCTGGAAATCATGGGATCCACTACCTAAATCTTGTAAAACAGGTTCTAGTACTTTCAAATAGAAATGGGGAAGGTCTTCCAACTCAGCACTTGAATGTGGTACTGCTGGACAGAATACTTCTGAAATGGCCCCAAAACTACAACCAGAAAATACCATAGCTCTGCAGAACATGAAAATCTCAACAGAGAAATCACCAACTAAACCATAGTTGATGTAGCCAACAACCGTGCCCCAGGCCTGACTTGGAGAAACAGAATCCTCCATCACCAGCCTCATAAAAACATTCAAACAACTCATTAGGCATTCAGGATAAAACCTGAAATTCCCTACTGAGCTCTCAACAGAGACAAATTCTTGCATTTCTTCAGTCAACCTGATCCAAAAGTTTAGAAGGAAAATCAGACAGTCCTGCCATGTTGAGTTATCAGGTATATTCCCATAAGCACCATTTGGAGGTATAATTACAGTGAAATACTGCTTAATAATTTCCAAAGCTTCTGAAGGTTCCAAGAGTTTGATATGCATTCTACAAGATTCATATGTCTGCTCAAGTTGACTGATCAAATTCTGAAAGTTTTCAGGGTTGTCAGTACTAAAATCAGCTCTAGCTCTACTCTCCAGAGTTGTCAACAAACACAGTACATAATGTTTGTAGACATCCTGCCATGAAATGAGACCCCCAGGCACTGGATCAGTGTATATGCTGACCAAATTCTTTACCATCGAAGACAAAGCCTCCAAAGTAAATTCATTGACATGAGCATAGACTTCACTATTGAAATGCTGCAAATTCAAACCACCCAATCCTGCAATATTTTTGAAGTTTAGGTTTTCAACAAAAGAAATTCTTTTGCATTCCTGCTCAGCAACCTTATAGAAATGAGATAACCCAAGAGGTGGGTCTGGCCTTATAATTGAAACAAGTTCTTTGCTTTCATTCAAATGAGCATAGCAATCCAACAATAGGCCATATATGTAAGCAAGGCGTTGCTTGTTGCACCCATCAACTTCAGGGTATACAGTGAAGGATAAAGTTTTGATAGTTTCTGAAGCAGAATCAAATATTTCTCCTTCAACTTCTGCAATCTCAGCAGTGATATCATCATTGGTCCAAACCTCAGAAAGAAGGATTGAACTTAGGTACCCTAGTATCACCTGAAGGAAACAATAAAAGGGATATATCATCATCAAATTTCCAAGATGGGTGCACAATTATCATGTAATACAAATAATAAGAGAAGATGAATAGATGCACGTCCACATACCTCATCCCTTCTTAAGCCATAGGTATCAACCAATTTCAACACATCCTTCAAAATGTGTTTTTTCTCCAACTTCACTGATTCAATGAGGGAGAAAACAACACTCCTAATATAGTTCATATCACCAGACAAGAAGCGTGCGGTTTCAACCCCAGGAATTATTTGCTCTAACACCCTAGAACGATCTGCTATACGCTTTTTCTGTTCCAATTTCAGTTTCCATTGCCTCCAAAATGAGGACTGTACTTTTTCGATCTTGTTTATTTCATCTAAACAGAAGAAGGAAAACAAGGAATGAGTAGATAATATCATTACATAGGCAAGCATATACTCTAAAATAAGGAGCTAAATACATGAATAAACCCAATTACCAGAACTAAATGGTGTGTGCTTCTCTTTAAACTTCCTAAGCAGCAGCTCCCTCCTCTGTGCAGGACTTTCACACTCAACTCCAGAGTTGTGCAACAAACTATATATCATCCCCACATTCATGATGCTACTAGTATCTTGGTAGTTAACTCGGGTTCTTAGCTGCTCTTCTATTACTTCTACACCACTAAATGAATCAACAAGATTCAACAGGAAGGAGCACCCCATCACATCATCCTCCTCAGAGACAGGTGGTTCAATAATTGATTTTGCCAGAGAAGCAATCAAATCATCTTTGGGAGCAAAACCATTCCTAGCCAACCAGGACAAAATAGTTATCACAGCTTGAGTTCTTACACTTACATATTGCTTTCCAGGAATAAAGCCACATGTGAATTTCTCACCATACTCTGCTTTCCTAGTTAATTCAGACAACCAAGGAAGTTGCACGGCAGCAAAAGACAATATCTTCCCATTTTCTTCAAGAAGGGAATCCCAATTGGTCCCATTGTCAACAGGCAAGCTTTTAGCAACAAGGGAGAGTGTATTTTTAATGTGATTGTAATGAACCTCATGATCTTCACTCGTAACCCCTCCAACTAACACAGAGCAATCTTTGAGGTTAATGATATCTTGAATATTGTAGCCTGATTGTGAAGTAACAGAGGAACCTTGAAGTGAGAAATTAGGAGAATTTGTCCCAGTCAACATCATCAAAGCCTCACATTGTCCCTGCATGTCTAAATCTTTCCATGCGTTGAGCAGCTCGCCAATTGATTCCACATCACAATAGCTCAAAGCAAAACCCAGAAGTTGTTTTCGAGAACTTATATCCATATTTTCAAGGGGAGGACCCCTTGCTATTGCAGCACATAGATCCCAAATGAGACCATGTCCCTTTTTAGCCAAAACAAGGCAAAGATCATATGCCAATTGCAGATCACCAGCAACTGCAGCTTCTCTAGCAATAGCTTCCTCAACAGCTGATATATCATCTAGAGAGCTCAGTCCAAGAAGTTTGGCAACCTCAATTAGTTCATCAACATGTAGATAAGCCCCAGCTTGACCTGTAATTGCCATTTTAATTATCTCCATTGGATCTTTTATTTGCCTGAATTCCACAGGTAAGAGAGTCACTCCAAGGTTTGGAAGCTTTACAGTAAGTGCATCAATAATATCAGACTCTGCTTTAACGTTTTTGCTACTAGGAAATATATTAAGGCACTCCTTAGCCTTCCAGATCTGAAACAAGTTTAACCAATCCAAGCAATGAGTTCATTTAAAAAAGAGAATGCCCTAGTGCTCTATGTCAGAGGGAATATAGGCCTAAGTAAAGCTGAATGATGAAGGTAAATTTACACAACCAACATTCTCTAGCGAATGCAAGAGCTGACAAAAGTAGAAGATCTCAAAACATTATATTTGTTAATCTAAATTGTCAGAATCCTAAAAGTTTTTAATCCATCCATGGACATCCTAAGTACAGCAGCAAATGACCTATCTGTATACTTACTTCTGAACAAGCAAGACTTGAAGCTGAGAAAAAATACTCTCTAGCAGCTTGAATAACCAAATTCTCTGCTTTCTCCAATGCTAAAGCAACTGAACTTGTACCCTTTAAGTAACTTCTAGCAAGAGAAAACTTGCCAGCTTTCAGTAATCCTCTGCAAAATTCAATTAACATATACTCTAGGTCAAGAAAAGGAAAGGCCTTCTCTTGCAACCACTGCATATCGCGCCACATGTTTGTCCAGTCATTATCTGATCGACTGGGTTGTCTTCGAATAAATTTTGAAAGGATAAGACGAAGAATCTGCTTTACACCTTTTTCATCAGAATGAGCCTCTAGAAAAAATTTTATGGGTTTCGGGACCTGTAGAGACAATTGTTAGAACTCAAACTTACCTCAAACATTCATCCACATTAGACAGCACAAAAAATGCAGGCATAAATAACCTCAGAGGGGAATCCTTTTGACTACAAGGAAATGTGAACAATTCTCCACAGCAATTGAGCACAATGTAAGAACTTTCCCCATATATTACTTGTTTAACAGCTAATAAAAACAAGTATATAATTGTAAAGAGATGCTACATCAAGCATGCCTAATCTTGTAAGCATAAAGACAAAGGTCAACTTCTAGAGCTGATGCTCTTATGGTCTTAAACCCCAGAACTACCACGTTTAATGTTATCTTGATACCCCAACCCAAAAAGCATCAAGCTAAAAGATTGAGGTTAAACCTGGTAAACTGCCAAAAGCCTTCCTGCTTCAATGTGGCCTTCTGCCACCCTGCATTGTTGCTCAAGCTCCCCAATACATATTTCCAAATCTACAAGGTCAAATATTTTCTATTATCCTCAAACATTCTATGAATTTCAGTAATAGGATGAGGCAGAAATGAAATTCAATGTTCATTATGAATTATATCACCGTTCAAATAAACATATAATGATTGTGATGACAACCAAACAAAAAAATAAAAATCAAACCTTAATTGGTTCATGTGATGTCAGGCTTACCTTGCTTATGTGGAAGCTTGGATATTATTGTAGCCATGGTATTCCACCTATCTGTAACATTACATGAATAGATGCATTGTAAAGCACAATCCACAGCTTCAATCTCATTCTTGAATAAGCCACTGCTTTGAAGCTCTCTGCACCCTTCTTCAATGACTATCAAGCACATGTCTAACTTGTTCTCTAAAGCAATTTCCCTCAACCATCTGACCAGAAATGATTCATCCTTTCCATAATCAACTGGAAAATGGCCATCATAAAACTGCCTTTGGGAGCTTGAGGGCATAGAGTAAGACCTTTTCTGCATAAAAGGAATAGCCTTACTGTGCAAGGAATGAAGCACATTTTCCTCTTTGCATCCCTTAAGCATTGTTCTGAATTTGTCATAGTCAGATAATTGTTCCCATGTGACAAGACTCATACTAGAACATATTTCACCATCATTCTCATTAGAATAAATCAGCTGGTGCAGATATGAGATATCCTCATGAAACTCCTGGAGCTCACTAATACCTTTGCGACAAGCAACATCAACCAAGCAGAGGCAATTGTCTAGCATGCCACAATAGGAATCAATATCTGTTGCTCTATTCTTGTACCAGACTGAAAGTTCACTTGTTGAAGGCCAAAAAGATCCCAAAGTCCTTTTAACCATAGGTTCTGTTCTAATCTGAATACCAAGTTCATGATTCTCTGGTAACTTACTAATAAATCTCAACATCCTATCACATTCAACCCAATCTTCCTCCCTCAAAGCAATAGTGGTAGGAGGAGACCTCCCTGGAAGAAGCTGCACATACGTTTGTACAAGAACTGTTTCAGGAATAGCAGACAAAATATCCAACATGAATGGCATCAGAGAATAAGGATGACGCTTGAAAAGTAGGTTTAAGGCTCCAATCTTTCCACTTTCAGCAAGTGTTACTGCAGCTTCATTAATCGGCATAACACGGAATTTGCTGTATTCCTGCAAAGAAAACCTGCAAAAGACTATGTCATTAACCCATCAGTCAGTAGAAATCATCAAGGATTGAATAACAGAAGTAGAAAAAAAATGATGATTTGAATAACATTATCATACCATAAGTCAAATCAGGCAAGAAAAATAACATGGAATAAAACACCTTGACAATATCTTATTTAAAAATTGACATGCCACCTTCCGAGATGACTTGGCTGTGTGCAAACATAGACAAGCAAGCATTTAAACTCATTCTTTTGGTTGGTAAAATAATAATCACATGGTGAAAGGAAGAACAAAGGCCCTCTAACTTCCCCAGTATATCAAAAAGTTGTGTTTTAAAAATACAACAATTAGATGAAACAAGATAGAGTAGGGGAATGGAGAGAGCATTATAGCAATCATGTGGGTCCTCTACCCTTACTAACAAAATCTGGTCAGAAAATTTCAATGTTTAGTTATATCTATTATCTAGAATCACAATTGCAGCAGAGATAATATACCTGCCCATGTTTATTCCAAGAAATGTTTCCAACCTGTCATTAAATTGCAGTAGCTGAAGTCTAGCCATACGATAATCCCAAATTTCAGCACATTCATGATCTTCTGACTCAGAAAATCTAAACTGGTTAGTTAATCGAAGCCCATGTGCAAGTAATCCCTTTGTCATTTCTTCTGTTGGTCCAACTTTATCCACGCACTCAGAGAACACAAAAGCTTGATCTTTGATGTTTGACAAGAATGTATTTATCTCAATTATTCCTTTGCTAGAATGCAACCACTGAGACTTTAAAACTTCATCCTTATCCAATCCATGATGATCAGCAAAGTCCAAAGCAGTCTGAAACTTGCAATTATTAATTAAAATCATATACATTTCAGGGACAGATCTCTCTGAAAATGACAACAAATTCCAACGTAACCTGGAAAAATCAGGTTGGTTAAATCCATTTTCAGAAATCTGCCCTCTGCTATCACTACTAGATGGATTGTGCATCTCTTCAGACTCCAAAAGAAAAAGGTGTCCTTGAAACATCCATACTCTTTCTAAAACAGGCATGGAATATACAGGTTCATTCTTTAAAAGTTTTAAACCACTAAGGATGTCAAACATGGTCAAGTTGCCACTCTGCTTTGCAAGAGTAAGAATATGGTCAGACCACCAAGTGAAGTCTTTAATGTCAACTAAAACTTCTTTCCATCCAGAGTCAAGTCCCTCCATGCAAGCAACATTTGAAAGTGAACAGCTCTTTATATCCAGCTTAAAAATGTGCAAGCATCCATTGACATCTAAAGTAGCAACATAATTGGCTTCCGGTGAAATTAGGACCTTTGGATATGCTGCTTGTTGACCTGCACAGCCTTTTGGTTTGCAATACAAGCCTTCAAACTGAGTGGCTGACAATGACTCCAAAACTAAATCCTGAGATCTACGCCAAAGAGATACAATACAGGAACCTGTGACAAAAGAATTAATCACCCGTTACAGAGTGCCAATACTTTATCATAAAGAACTGAGATATTCACAGAAATGTTTATTTAGTTGAAGTCTAACATTCAATATAGAAGTCAGCTGAGCAACATTTATTGAAAAAAGTCTGCTAAACTTCTATGTTTTCAGTAGGGTTGTTTCAATAAAGAATTTCACTTAAGATCAAAGAGAACAAATAGTATGTCATACCAGAATTCCCAAGAGAGGTAGAGATGCCAGAGGTACTACCAACAAGGACAAGTATAGAAAGTTTGGGATAATAGTCAAAGCACAAGACATTCTGAGGGAACTGCCTCTTGGAAGTCAAGCCAATAGTGTTTGTGGAGGAAATAGACGAACTTGGCTCTTGACTGATCTCAATGTCATGAAGACATCCATCAGATGTCAGAATGGTGAAGTTACACCTGAAAAAATGTCATAAATTGAATACAAGCAGTACTTCTGTAGCTTCTGGAATAATTAAACAATTAAAAAAAATACATCGACACAAGAAGGGGAAAAAAAAAAAAACTATGAAGCTCAGACACCCTGATCATGAACTCAAGATTGTTATCTGTGTTTGAGGGGAGGCTTCAAGCCAAAACCTGTAAAAATAAAATTGAAAGGAGTCCGGGCAAGGAGAGAAGGAAAAGCTTACAAGCAAGATTTCTGTCCATCAGTATCATCCTGTGCAATGAGACCTATAACTGGAACAGACACTTTTAAATGCCTCCTTGTAATTCTTGTTATCTCTTCACCATTTGCCTTAATAAAATAGAGTATATCCGAGTCATCAGCAACTCCAAGAATATCATGAGATTCAGACCAAGCTCCAAAAGTAAATGAACCAAGGCTGCTACCTGATGGGTAGAAAACAAATCAGAACCAGTTACAAGAAAAGGGGAAAAGTCTAGCAAGAGAACCACAACACTTGCAAATATCAACTTTTATTGATAATGGCTATTCAAACCTTAAACATGAACCAATTCATAATGATGATTAATCTTGCATGCATTATGCCCATTAACTTTGAGAGCAAAATTTTAAGTGTTTAGTTCACAAATTCATTGGTTGACTGTATATGTGATAAATCACCATATAAAAAGTTAACGAGCAAAATATAATAAATTAACATAGATTTCTTTTTCCTTTTTTCATCTCCTGTCAACCTCGCTTATAGATGGAAGAGCGTTATAGTATATATGCATGAAACATAGTGACCAACCAAACTAGTTGACCAAAATAAGAGTCCAATTCCTTGATAGAAAGTTTAAAATTTAAAACATCAACTTGAAATAATGGGCATATGGCCAATTAAAAGTGGAAAAAAGCAGCCTGAAGTACAGCCACAATCCAAATAATTACTAAAGCTCCAGATCTGCTGCTACTACTCATCTGATAAAGATTAAAGCATGACAGTTCTTAGCTGATAAGAATCAGAGGTACTTGGACATTTCTGAATAAGAGATCCCACACCATAGTTTATTATCTTGCTTAATAAGATACTCTTCATTTCCCTTTTCAAGCAATCAACACACAGCTATAACTAGTGTGGAACAAGCAATTCATAACTTGCAGGATGTGTCTCTATCAACTCCATCTTGATAAGATTATAAATTGCACTGCTTGATTGCATATACAATTATACATTGCAAAAGAGAAAAGCAATCAGACAGCTTGCAATGCTTTTGATGATTTCTGATACCAACATGTAGTACTTGGAAAATGCAAGGATTTAATTTCAAGGGAAGAATACAATTTCACATGTTCATAGGCATTCTTCATGCCCATCATGTATTATTCATCTCATAGGCCATTTTTTCACTATGAAAAACTGTTTTTACAAACAATAAGCTTCTTGAGATTATTTTAAGCTTTAAATAACAAACATAACCTGACGTCATGGGTTACAATCATGATTTATTTCTCCCAATTCATGCATCAAAGAATTAAAAGTTTGACTACCCAGTTTGTATTTCTTATTCAAAGACTATATATAAAGTTTGAAGCAATGGCAGACATAATTTAAGAGAATATATATCAGCCATTGTTTCTGAAACCGAGAATTCATGAAATCAGCAAGTGAATCTTGTCTTACCAGTAAAAGTTCCAAATGGCTCTTTGTAATCATCCTCCTTTCGCAAAATTGTGAGTCGATTACCGACAGCCACAGCCACACGTTCAGCACTTGGAGAAACAAATAAGGATACAGGTTTGTTCTCTTTCTTTGGATTCCTATATTCACTCCATTTCTCCTTTATCTGACTTACACCAGGAACCGAGAGAAGCGAAAAGAAACCACCTTTAACACCTTCATTTGGCTGAATTCATAGAGTATTTAGGTAAATTGATCGTAGTAATGCTAGAATAAGAAGGAAAAATAGCAGTGAGAAAAGAGAATCGTGGACCTGTTGAACGGGAGGATAATTAGAAGTGTAAGGCCTGGAGGCGTGACGTCGGGTCTCGTAAAGCACTTCGCGAACGGAATCCGCCATAGCTGACGCTCCTTCGGCGGTTCTCTGATCGGATCGGAGTAGCAGAATTCCAATCCCTCTTCGTCTCTCTCTGACCGTTTTAGTTCTCGTTCTCGTTCGTCTCTAGAAAGTAGAAAGGTGTTGGGCGGTGGCAATTTTGTAAAATTGTCTAATTTTGAGGAAAACCTCCGTTTTAGTCTTACGATTTTGTCTTCCTTCTCTTCTTCTTTCCTAAATAAACCAACAACGACAACAGAACCCATGAGGGAGGTGTATTGCATTGGCTTTACCAATTAAATATAATATTATTTACCAGGAGAATGAGAGTTTTTTTTTTTTTTTTTCAGGGTAATGGTTAAAAAATTAGTATGAGTTAATTGTTAACAATTGATATTTAGATCAAGTGAACATTTCACCCCTCAAATGAGACGCGCGACCATCAAATCGCTTTTTAATGAAATTCACGACGATGGTGGAACTCAAAATTCCGATCACCTTCACCCAAGCACCTAAGGCTTGGGATTGAACCATTGGATTTAAATGCTCAAGAGAATGAGAGTTTGAATCATAATTATACAAGTAAAATGATTTTTTTAATATTTTAATCAATTATTTTATTTATATATTTAAATTAAGAAAAACAGAAAAAGAAAGTAGAGAAGAACTGCATTCCTCTATTTTTCACCATCCTTTACCCCTCCATCCCCCTCACTTAAATAAATAAATAAATAAAAGTAACAAAAATTTTATCAACCTTTTAATTTTTTAATAATGAAATAGAGAAAATTTTTTCCCTCCTTTTTATTTCTCTTAATCTATATATATTATAGCCAACTGGCCTGTGGCCCAATTGGTTGGCCCCCAAGCTTTAGGGCTTAGGTGAGGCGGAAGTCAGGGTTTCGAATTTTGCCACCGCCGTGAACTCTACCAACTTGCGACCTAATGGTCGCGCGCCTCAAATGAGGGGGTGGAACGTTCACTTTCCTGAAAAAATTCCAGCTGCTAACAAACTAACTCTA